CTCCGGGCTGCGGGTGGAAGGGGTTTTAGAGGGCCGGCGTAAGGCTGAAAGGGGCTTTAGGGACGGTCAGCGCGAGGGCTGGCGCGGTCGGTAACGCCGGGAGAGCGACGGCAAGCGGTGGCCTTCCTCCTGCTGCCCTTGGTCCTAGCAGCGGTGAAGCCTCGTTTTACATTTCAGGAGGAAGGCAAGGGGAAATGCAAAATTATCTTGGAGTCTCACGGTCAGCAGAACGGCACAGACGGTAGCGAGAAGTACTGCTTTGCTTAAAAACCTGTATCAGAGCAGAAATGCACAGGCAAAGTTCAGAAAGGGGGAGTTGGCATATTAGGGGCTGGCCCTGCAGTTCCCAACTTCTCAGGCTTTCTTTGTGTAATGGACCCCCAAATTCAGGGCTACAGAGAAATCGAGGTGCCAGAATGCAGCAGCTGGGCAGGGGGCTTTCCAGCACAGCCCACCCTGCCTGGGGAGGGGGGGGGGGGTGCTGAAAGGAGCAGCCCATGTCCAAACAGGATGCCAGTGCATTGGGATGGCAGACGACAACCCCTTCAGCAGGCCGGTTCTCGCTGGAGCATTTCCCCAGGGAAGCGCAGGAGCAGGACGCAGTCCCGCAGAGCTGTGCTGCCTGCGAGGTGTGGGGTCTGCGCGCGTGCTGGGCAGCGCTGCCCTCCAGGCCGTCGGCCCTCTGCAGGGGTTGCGACAACTGGTCCTTCAGATCAGGCTCTGGGGGAAAGAGAAGCAGGGACACATCTGATAGGGGTGAGCCAGGCTTGTGCAGACCCTGGGCACCTGAGGGCTACAACGTGCTTCCCACCCTGAGGGAGGATGGGTAAGCAGGGTCTTGTTGCCACCGAAATGTTGGACTAAGGCATCTAGTGAGTCTTCAGACAGCTTATACGGTCCTTTTGGCTTAAAGAAAGGGCTGAGATCTCTTACCGTGCCAGGATGTCCCTATCCAAGTGACAAACGTGCTGAGATTCTTCTAAACGGTAGCTCTTTTCACCGAACACCACGCTGGGGCGCACAGCCGTGGCACACAGCTGGTGGGGCTGGCCCCGCCCCGGCACTTGTGTCCCTGGGTTGTCGCCGGCACCGTTTGAGATGGCCTCTCTATGGCACCTGCAGGGACAGGAGGAGGAAAGTACCCCGGGGCCGCTGCCCCAGCGGAGGGGATGGGGAGGAGGATAGGAGACACTGGGCACGCTGACCCGAGCAGTGGGATTTCATCCACGGAGCATCATTTGGTGCCCGGCTCTGCTGCTGGTAAACGGTTGGTTCCTGTAACCGGCTTCATGTTCCCTTAGCAATTATTTGTGAGTAACCAGTAATGTCACTCGTCAGCTGAAGTTTTCGATGAGGTTTGTCTGACATTCAGGAAAACACGTCTGACAGAACACGGCCTAATTCTGGTGACGCTACTTCATAAAAAAAGTAAAAACGCAGTTTTTCCAAAAGTGAAGTTTTCACTGTTGGCTCATGGGAGAGAATTAAGGCGTCGGGCTTCCCTCTGAGCTCTATGCTGAACCTGATCAGGCAGGGAATGCGATGGGAAATGCAGCTTGATATTGCTCTAATTTGAAATGAAATGTTCTTGATTAGTTTAATAAACTCCAATGAAACCTCTATCTTCCAATGACATCCAGTGTTTCTTTTTAATTTGTAAAAGTGATGTTTCTGAATATGTTTTCTCAGAAATGAAATCTTCAGAAGGGCATGATTTGTAACAAGCCACAATATCCCCCGCCTGATTTTCAACTTAGTGCAGGGAAGGCAGGGTTTGCCCAGTCCTTTTGCAAGCTTTTAGTTGCCATTTGCCAAAGGTCTGCACAGCACACGGAAGTCTAGGGCCCTTCCTATTTGAAACATCTAGATGCTACTGGAATATAAATACCAAATAATAAGTTATATGGTCTAATGCTGCCCCTACAATAAAAATCACAGATAACATTCCCTCTTTGGGGTCCTACTTTACTGTGCTAACGTTACTTAAGGCTTACAAGTCCTCTGAACAGGTCTCTCTCACTGCTAGTGGCCTTAGATACCGCACAAAAATCTACTTCTCAGTCTTTCCGTGCTAAAAAACTTTTAAAGCATGAAAACACCCCATTACCATACATAGAGTTGTGCCAATATAACATAGCTCTGTATTGTACATTACTACATCTTAAAATAAACTTAAGCAGTTACTGCATTGAAGTACGTACCCGATAGCCTAAGAGTAGGCATAGCCTAGAAATGCAGATAATCTTTGGTATAATAACGTATCTTCATTAAGAGCAGGGAAAACTGCCCGAGCAGCTGGCGTGTGGAAGTCACAGCTGCCAGGCCAAATCCTGCCTCAAGCATGACACAAGTAGTGCCATTGATTTAATGGAACTTGTTTGTGTGAATTACGGTTACCGGGCTTGGTTCTAGGCAGAAAACCTAAATTTAATTTATTTTCAGAAAATAACACCCAAGATTTCTCCCTACCGCCTTTTAAGCAGGAAAGTTTATTCTGAGTGCTTCAGAAGAGGAAAACCTAGTTTCAAGAGTTATTTTCAGTATTTTGCAATGTACATGTTGTTCCAGTGTCCCTATTTAATAATTTCTTAAACCTGTCTCTGAAATAGCACTTCATATATTTCTCTAAATCGATGAAACGTGTTAGAAATACCAGCTGTCCTATTCACATATCTGTACAAAACAACTGATCCATGGAAGTATATTAATCAATATCAGAAGCAAACGTTTAATGTTTTCCAACTCTAACACTATATTGATGAGCTTTTACCAGGGAGGGGTCCAAGTTTAAGCCATGACTAATTCTGGCTCCAGGGAATGTGTGTTTGTGTGATTTCAGCCCAGTTTTATCTTTTGCTCAGCAAAAAAGCCCAGGCTAACTGGCTGGAGTTAGGATAGCCACTCAAACGAACGACCCCGACGATTTTTAAAGCGACTTTTTTGTTTCAGGTAGTCGGGAATCTGCTTTTGTACATGCCATCTCCTCTGCTGGGGTTGTTTTTGCCATCACCAGGGCATGTAGCCAAGGGGAGCTGAAATCCTGCTCCTGCGATCCCAAGAAGAAAGGCTCTGCCAAGGACAGCAAGGGCCATTTTGACTGGGGTGGCTGCAGCGATAACATCGACTACGGCGTTAAATTTGCCAGAGCCTTCGTGGATGCCAAAGAACGGAAAGGAAAAGATGCAAGAGCGCTGATGAACCTTCACAACAACAGAGCTGGAAGGAAGGTGGGTGTCCATCCAGCAGATGCCTGGAGATGCTCTCAGTGAGCTCTCACAGGTCTGGGGCAGGTAACGGTTGCTGACTGATCTCAGCAGTTAGGAAGAAGTATGGGCTGAGCGGGGGCCTGAGATGCTATTTCTGTCTCCCTGGGAGGTTCAGCGTGGCAGAGATCTCCAAACAGACTGAGTGCAACTGCTTGACAGTGCTCCCGTCTGAGTCAGTTCAGTGGCTCCTTGTGTGGGACGTTAAGCCCGAGCCCAAGTCGTTGCAGGATCAGTCTGGATGGAGGCTTGCTTTGGAGCCTAACCCCTATATATGGAGGAGTTTTACTTTCAGTTAATAAGGAATAGAAATTCCTAAGGGAGGCTGAAGACCACACTGAAGAACAGGCTTGACTATTAATGAGCAAATTCAAAATAACGCTGGAGAAAAAAACCATACTGTCCATGTCTGTATGTATACAGTAAACCTAAACACAAAATGAGCAGACATAAAATACAATTACTTCACTTTTTAAGAAAATAAATCCGAAATACATGTCCCTCCAAAAGGTGTTGGCCTTCGGGCATGACCTGCTCTAAACAAAACCCTCCTCTAAACATTGCATGAAAATACCGTTCTTCAATTTCAACAAGAAGAGTCTTTACTTCTTTATTGTAGGTGAGTAGAAGGAGTAGCTGCCGGACATATTGCCCACTGCTGGTGCAAGGGCTGAGGAATACATGCACTAACGTTTTGTGGTGGTAGTCATAAATAGTAAGAACAGTGCATGAAACTGGAATATGCTGTTTCATTATTCAAAACATATTCAAAAATTTGCTGCATCCAAAACATCAGAAATAATACGGGAAAATATTTTACAGTGCTAGATCAAGCTCTTCTAAAGTGAATCTTAGAGATGACTTGTTTCTTGTCTTTGGTTTTCCTTAATGTACATTCAGTAGGAAGTAAATTGTTCATATTCTGATCTTTTTGTATTAAAAAGTTCCCTTTATAAACTGTAAAATTGTTCTATATTAAATAGCCCGTATTAGAAGAAAAGATCCAATTTTAATGAATTGTACTGCTTGAATTGAAAGGAGATGATTTTCCTGATAAATATTTCTCCTTCCAACATCTTTCCTCCACCTGTTTATTACCAGCAGGTGTAATTAATATGTAATGTAGACAGATGAGGCTATTCAGGTCAGTGATACGCATATGCAATACTATGGCTGTATTTATGTTACTGTCCAAAAGAGACTGCAGTCTACGACACAAGCAAAGACTTTATAGGGGTGAATTAACTTCACGCTGGGAAGTACTTTCTGAAATAGTTGAGTATCTTAGTAAGTTTAAAAAAATATATACACCAATAATAAGACAGTATTGGTAAGCAGGTAGTTGTTTTTTTTTTTTTTTTAGAAAAAAGATAAAGAGACTTTAATAAATGTATGTGATTAAAAATAATCAACACATTCTCATATGCTTTAGGACCTGCTTTATGGAAAGGGATGCTGTTTTGTATCCACGATGCAGGGACCTCACTACCTCAGCCTGCTCACAAGCCTGGCATTCGGATGTGGATAAGACTAGCTGTGCCCTCGGCTTTTTCTCACCCCCAAAAGGGGTGTTGATAGGTTTCTTTTAAAACTAGGCTACTCTGATTTTACTAATTCAAAAATACATTGAATAAATATTTATAATAATCTCACATGGATCATACAAAATAATATGCTGTGTATCAGTATAGGAACATCCCTGACAAAAAAGCCCTGCGTCCCTATGTGCTGCTTCTGCTATTCCAGGCCTCAGTCCAGCAAGTTGTTTTAAACATACAAGTAGTTCAACTGATTCCCACTCAGATAGTTAAAACCAAGCATCCGCTTAAATCCCTTTCTGAGCAGAATCCCAGTTTTGTGAGAGTACTATTGGCAACGAAGTGGGGCTGCGGGAACGTCAGCGACTTCTTTGAAGTAGTCAAATCATTTACAAGTTGGAAAGAAAGAAAATTAGAAGTACTTTGGTTTTATAATACATTCTCGCTTTATTACCAAGAGCTTGACTGAAAAATGCCACCCCGCTGTGCATCAGTCTCACTCCTAATCATTGAGCTTTCCTCTCTCTTACCTTCCTCCCATGGTGCTGTTCCTCTTGTACAAACTCTAAAATGTTCATATTTCATGAGCCCTTAAGGCATAATATTTATAGATCAAATATCCGTAACTTCAGAATTAGGAATTAATTACTTATTGTATATGAACCCTTCTGTTGTTCTCCAACATCATACAGATAGCTTAAATGTCTGAGATGAAGCTGAATTGGCTTTAATGCTATCCAGGCATTAAATTAGTGATGAAGGTGGTCTCTCCGGTGCAAGCTAATGAAGACCTTACTCTAAAATGTTTGTTAAAAGGTTTATAAGCATTTTAAAAATACCATATTTTAAAATTTTACGTGGAGCAGATGCCTAGCCCAGGTACGATGCTTCATACAGTCTCTGCAAAATCATTTAAATATGAGATGCCTATGAATTTCTAGGAAATATTTGAAACACTATTCAGGGCAAAGGGCAACTTCACGAAGGCGAGCTAGAGAGGGTCAGCACGGCAATGCTTCAGCTAGAACGGTGGGGAAAGGGGGTACCTTCGCCTACCAAGGGGCTGAGTGATTCTGTCCATTTCCCAGATCGTTTCCTCCTGTCCGGTCAGTGTCCTAGCGTTATGGACCATCTCGATCCTCGGGATGACTGGCAGGAGCAGGGAAGGTAAGCCCACCAGTCGGAGGATTGTGTGTACGGTTGAGTCAAGCAACCAGAGCAGACCAACCATGTGGGGATGACTTGATGCTACCAGTGGGTGTCACTACAGACCGTGATTTGGAGACCCATTGCAAGCCTGGCATTACAGGATGACTGGGAAAGGGCTGAGAAGTGTAAATTACAGTTTGTTTTACCTGTGTGTATTTTACTGCGTTTCTAAACAGGCCGTGAAGCGGTTTTTGAAACAGGAGTGCAAATGTCACGGTGTGAGTGGATCATGCACTCTAAGGACCTGTTGGCTGGCCATGGCAGACTTTAGGAAAACAGGAGATTATCTGTGGAAGAAATACAATGGAGCGATTCAGGTGGTCATGAATCAAGATGGCACGGGTTTCACTGTGGCTAATAAGAGATTTAAGAAGCCAACTAAGAATGACCTGGTATACTTTGAGAGCTCTCCAGACTACTGTATCAGGGACAGGGATGTAGGTAAGCCTCTATCGTTACATCTGAATGGTTTTATTTCAGACGTTTATACTTTGAAGGTAAAAAATTATCATTATTATTGATGTGTGTGTGTGCATATATACATATATATATAAAAAAATCCATGCATGTAACCGGCAGGAAACAGGCAGGAAGATGTTTTAGAAGGACAGCTCTGTACAAGAACAATAGCTCCTCAATATCCCTAGATGTATGACAGCCAGTTGTTCTAATATAATTCAGCAGTTTCTTCCAGATGCTATGGAGCCCTGGAGACGCTGCAAGGCAAAAGTTGCTTTTAGGACAAGCAACTTGAGTTATGCTCTGGAGGCAGGTCCATACCGTACACAGCCACGTACACGCTTGTATCACACAGCTCACTCCAGAGCTGCCAGGTGTAACTACAGCAGCCCCAAGTCCCGTGATGTCCCTATGATACCACCTCCCGTTGCATTGCTTGTCTTCCATGTTATTATGCTACTGCTTCAGACTCCCAGGAGACCAGTGTCCTCCTTTATCTGCACATTCCCCGCAGCTCACTGTGGACCGTGGACCCCCTAATTGTAGACACACCTCTCCCCATCAGTAATGTAGGAGGTGCAGCAACTTGGTGCAAACCACGCTTGCACCGGTCAATGCAGCTGTCGGTAACGCGGTGCAAGGCAGCTGGAGGACGTGCAGGTGGATGAAAGAATAGAGGTCGGTGGGGCACAGCACACTGCATCGAGTGACACGGCTGTTTATTCCTCTTTACGAGACAGTGTTGGCTCCGTCCATGATAACCTTCACATTTTCTGAAGAGTTGTGCCAGCCCCAGTGGGAAGAGGTAAAGTTTCAGGGCTGCTGTTAACACTGAATTTTTCTGCTGGTAGAGATTTCAATGGAGACACACTTAACAGTGTTACAGGATTCAAGGCACTGCCAAGCACCAGGAATCCTGCTAGCGGTTCTTGACCCGTGTATAGCATTTCCTGATGTGGCAATTAGAATCTAGCAACTAGAAAACCAGAAATTTGGAAAAGAGAGCCAGACTGAGTAATGTATGAAAGATGTTGTGGAACTAATTAATAGGTTGTATAACGTACCAGATCGCACCCGCTATGACATATCCGTAAGTATCTGGATAGCAATGCAGCTCAACTCTTTTTGGCACCGCTGCATATTTACAATCCAAGTTCACTTGGAATAAGCATTGCAAAACAACTGTACTTAAATAAGAACAATATGTGAAACCCTGGTCATGTACTATTGACTTCAGTGAACCCAGAATTTCATCCAGTACGCTTATGTTGTACAGTGTTTCTAGTTAGTTGAGTAGTCAAGGTAATTTTAAGTGTTATTTATGGCTTTTGCAGGTGATGCTTATTACCTGCACAAGCACGTATTGTTCCTTGAATAGCGACCGACCCTGTAAAATCTGATACTTTAATCCACGTGAATAAATGGGCATATTGTGGCATTGCGCAGAGACTAACTTTGCAGACTAGGATTTACTCAAAATTTTGTTTCTTGAAGTTGCCTCGTGCATTGTAACACCCATGATTTCTTTCCCCCAAAAAGGAGAGCCCACACATGACCCACTTTTTATGTCAAAAAGCCGTTTAATAATCTCTTTGTACTAAGCCTAATCTCATCTGTCAGTCATGTTATTGTGGAGGAGAGTGGGCATTTTTCACCGCAGTGTGTTATGCGCGCTTGCCTGACACTGTCAAGCCTGCCCAGAGATGGCAGAGTCTGACACGTGCTTTGGTTCAGCTCAAGATAAGGCTGCGGATGAGGAGGTGTTTCTTTGCGGCCCAGAATTCAGAGAATGCGGCTGTTTGGAAGAGCACATTTTTGGCAAGCTGCAGTAAACCTTCAACGGGGTGCGGGATGCCCTGCTGCTCGCGTGGAGCAAAGAAAGAATCAGATGAACAAAAACTGGTCTGGCTTTGAGAGAGGTAATTTCAGCAGCTGAGCAGCATTTTTTCTTTATTACCTTTGGTTTGCCCTGTTGAGCGCTCCGGAGTGTTAGTGCTGTTAAATGACTGGAAATGAAATGATATTATGGAAGTCTGAGTTTAGAAATAGGTGGGGAGCATCTCAGCGTCAGCTAAATGTAATACCACAGCGCTTTAGTATGTCCTTGAATACAGTTCTGCCTTTCATTCTCAGGGGAATTCAAGCAATTTAGTGCTTCGGGGGCGGGGGATTATATCTGGAGATTGGTTAGTATGGGGACTGAATGAAGGATTCCCAGAGCAAACCTTATGAAGTGTCACGACTTGACCAGGAGACAGCTTCACAAGCTGAAGAATGACCAAGCCAGTGTCCTCTGTGGCTTGGGTGGGCTAACACATATGAACCAGTAAATTAAAGGTGCTCAGGGGCTGTATCATCAGCGGCCTATCCAAAAAACTATGCGTCTTGTCTTCTGCTGTTGGGGCTTTTAGTGGTGGCTCTTCTCGGGTGGCGGGCAGCCACTGGAGGGTGCTGGAACTGAATACACCCCGCTGGGTCTGGCAGTCTGTCTGGGGGAGGCAGCTGGACGTACATACATGAATTGCCCATACAAAGTGAAAAATGTGTTACTATTTTTTTCCTAGAAGGAAAAGAGCAGTCATTGCTTTTGGGAGTGAGATAATATGTGGAAAACACTAATAGCAACTCAATAGCAAGAGAACGTAATAACCCAACCACCTCTTGTCTAGCATTAAGATTTCACGACTTTTAGAGAAGGACCAAAGGAAGATTTTCAGAAGTGTTCAGAATTCACTTACCTCTGCTCACATGGATGCTGAAATAATTTTTGCTCACAATTTTGTACTCATAATTTGATAGAAACAGAGGTAGGACATCCCAGAGGGCTTTTGAAAGTCTTGTCATGAACTTACAAATTTTGCCACACTTTGCATGGTCTTCCCTTATATTACCATAAATTTCCAGCTCCCAAAACCAATACAAGCGTACCCAGGACTACACAGGGAGAGACCTGACAGAAATTATAAAGCTGTGAAGGAAACTAAAGTGACGGCTACACAGGTGGCTGTAGCACGTACTCTCTCACCCTGAATGCGTAACTTCACCTCCGAAATGCTGTAAAAAAACTCTTGTTTGTCTGCTTATAAGCTTCTGTTAGAAGCATTTTAAGTTTTGAAAGATTGCTATTTGACTATCCATGCAGGCTAGGTTGATTGAAAGCTGTTGCAAGTTCATCATGTTTTGAACGTACTGGTGGACAAGCAGAGACTGCTTTAGGAATAAACATGAGCAGTCGTAGAGCGGGCATCACCAGCTTGCTGGCCAAGCTTTCGTTACAGGCTGTTGTTCGTAGAGACTATTAAAGCAGTGTAATGTCTTCCTGCGAAAGAAAACATTTTAGAACCGGTTTATTAAAAATTAATTTGTACAGAGCAACCAAAAAACATAGGCAATGTTTGAGTGAAGCTTCTTCCTGCAGGGAGACCACCACCAAAGTGTGTAGAGCAAGCTGAGCTCAGCTACGCATGTGGAGGTGGTGCATATGAGCAAGGAGGTTTCATCCCCAGGCGGGGACACCAAGGTGGAGTTGGTGGGTGAGTGGCAGGATGGCGTTGGTGAGTGCGTGTTGACTGTTCACAACTCTTCTGGTAGCAAAGAGGCTTTGGCCACGTGGAAGTGGTGGTGGAGCAGAGGCAGGTCATGTCTACGTGTAGATGGTCTCGAGCTGCTGCAGCAGTCCCTCAGGACCTGCTGCAAACCCATGTGCCATGTGCTTCAAGTCACCTGTAGGTTTCTCCCAACACTCACATGGTCCTGGTTTGGGCGCTGTCAAAGCCAGCATCGCTGCCTCTGCCTGCGCCGTAGGGTGTGGGTTGTGTACGTGGATTGCGGTGGTCATCTCCTGTGTCCCCAACAGGCAGACAGGGTGCTGCGGCTGGGTCTGAGGACCCTCCACACCCGGTCTCCTGGTGGAAAGCACTGTGGAGATGCATGTGCAGTGCTACGGGCAGCCCGTGGGAGCTGCGCATTGGGTGACAAACCACATGCCCAGGGTGACCTGCTCTGGGTCCTTCACAGGATTATTTTCGTGTTAATTTATTTCCCCTGCTGTCCCACATAAGCCGTATGCTGCATTTTTGAGATGAATGAGGCCAAGTCCGGAGTGAAAGAAAAATGTGAAATTAAAGTGTAGTCTGCAAAGTATTGGTGTTGGGCAAGATGTGTTAGTACTTGAGGTATGTAACCCATGGAGGGAAACCAATCCTGATCTATGTTAAAAACTTCTCACTGAGGTTAGGCGCATACAGGCAGTCCCTGTGCGACTTCTTGGCCCGTATATCCCACTTCACGCATTGCAAATATATTGGGTGCAGTCCCGGCCCCATGCAAGCTGACGGCAGAGCTTGCGATGACTTCCATCAGGGCAGCTCTCCTCCAAGCACCGTCCAGCAAGGGAGCAGCACAATCACCCCAAGAGCCTCTGGTTGCTGAGAGGTTATGACAGCTATCAGTAGCTATGGAAATTAGAGCGAGACACATTTGCTCTAAACTGAATCTGGATAAGCTGTTTTTATCAGCACGTTACTGTCTCTTCGTTGCTGGCCTGGGAAATCCCAGCCCCTCTGGACAAGGCTGCCTCTGGCATGCGCTGCCTGTCCTCTCCAGCCCTGCTGTACTGAGGTGTTGTACGTGAAACGTGAATGTTTCTTGGTATGAAAAGTAGCTTTAGAGCTACTTTTCTGTGAATATTTCTTTTTTTTTTTTCCCCCAAACGCTCGTGTGGAAACTAGTTTATTGTTGTTGGGAGTTTCACTGCTTGGTTTTGTTTGGTTTTTTTTTAGGTGAAAGTCAAGTAATGAACTTTATTGCTTGAAGACAGGTTTTTAATCAACGGAAATAGAAGGGAAAAATCTCACATTATAAAGGAGTAAATACATTTTCGTGCTTTAGGAATGGGAAAAAATATTTTTCAACTTATCATATGTTTGCTTAAGAAAACAACTGTGCAAACCAAGAAGAAAGGGTTTGATATACGGGCCGTAAATTTGGCAGTATTAAAAGCTGTGGATGTTTTGGCAGGTATCATGTTGTGGGTCGGCATGGCAATTCCAACACTTGAAATAAAAACGAAGAAGTTGCACGAAAACTTTTTACAAGTTAGAACATACTCCTGCCTCTTAAGTGATGAGGAGGTGCCTAACAGGTAGCAGGCAAAGCTCAGAAAACTCTTCCATATTTTGTTTAGTGTCTTCTGTTGTCTTCATCACCTGGGTATGTGAGTGCGCCCAAGGAGCGCAGTAACTTGCCCGGCTGCTCGCTGTCAGTTATTGCTCATTTTCTTTCTCGTGAGAGAAGCCACAAAGATGCTGAAGATGCTGTTTGAACTTTTCAAAAATGTTGGGTTTGCTCAGAAACTAAGCCTTTATATGAGCCTGTTTTCTCTTTCGTCACGTTCTGTGGATAATTTAGTCTCCTCTCCTAGCGGCGCAGTAAATGTTGATGTTGTATTGTGGGCAGTATCAGATGATACCAACTTCTGACTGTCTGTTAGGGGCTGAAATCATTTTGGTTTTGAAGTCAGTGGCAAAACTCCCATTGAAACCAGCAGGCGCATCCTGCTCAGGTTCCCCTTCACTGCTGTGCGGTTTCCCCAAACATCTGGAAATGAGAACTTTGGAGTTGGAAACTAACCTGTGCCTCGGCTGAGGGATGCGGTCAGACCTTCCCGGGGCAGCTCCTGCACCTCATCACAGCTGGGCGTGATGACCCGCGCCTGGCCTCACGCGGAGGGGGACGTGGGGTCTTCCTTCCACCCCAGCGGCCAGGCAGCACGGCCCCGCTCTGCTCCCGGTCAGGAGGCGTGCCGAGGTGGAGAGCGGCTTTGCTTTGCCTCCGCTGGAGGAGTGACACCTGGCCGGCCGCTGCCCGACGGTGGCACAGCGAAGGCTATCGAGCGTCCAGCTCGTTTCACACAAATGACATGCAGAGAGCAGAGCACCAAGTGGTTTGAAATCTAACCCAAATGGTGGTTGTTGGAGATTATTGTCCTAGACATGCTGCGTTACACAGCCCAGGCACTCTGGGACTTTGGGGCTGGGCCCCGTCAGCGGGGTAAAGCAGCACGCAGAGCAAGGGAGGTGAGGGGGAGCCCGTGCAGGGAGGTAAGCAGGAATTCACACCAAGTTCCTGATGCAGAACGTTAATCATATGAGTCACAAGCTTGGGCGTTGTACCGGTTTTTTGTCTGAGCAGAGAGGGCAGGACAAGCGCCTATAAACGTGGTTATTCAGTTGTATTTTGCACAGTCTGGCATGTGATGGATATTGCTGTGGGCTGACACAAGCACCAGCACTTACGTTCAGATGTCCCAGCTGTTTGCACAGCATCGCAGATGGAGGAGAATGTGGTAGCTGGGAAGCAGGGTTTGGTTTGTTTTCTGCCACAGGCTTCCTACGGGATCACAGGTGGATCACGTAGCTCTGCATCCTCCTGACTCCTCAATCCTGCCTAGATTGAAGGCACCTGCGGCCACTGGAAGTCTCTCTCCCCCAGTGCGGAGCGATTCCTGGAAGAAGGATCTGGGAAAGGCCTTTTGGCATCACTGCTTTGCCTGTTGTGCAGGTTGCCCCGGTGCAGCTGGCCTTGCAGGGAGAACTGCGTGGCAGAGGGCTTGCTAGGGGTGGTGTGCGCCCATGTGGGTCGTTGCTGGTGGTACCTCTCCTCCTCTTCCTCCTCCCCCCCGGGACCCACTGCACCAGGATTCAGGTGCTGTCACTGGCTGCGGGGACAAGAGACCGGGAGCTACTGCTGGTTCCCTGGTGCAGGGCATGCCTGATGCAACACGTCACTGGTTTTTACATCAACATGAGGTGCTCCCCCGGGTAGCAGAGGCTTACTTTAAAGTGCTGTTCAGCTGCCTCCCCAAGGATGCTACGCAGAGCACTGGTCCATGGGCAGCAGCGTGAGCAGGCTTGGACCCCGAGGAGATCTGGGATTTATCGGGCTGCAGGTGCAGGAGCCCATCTCTGGCTCTGTTCAGCGTGTCTTCCCCTCCCTCTGCCTTTTCCCTTTCGGGTGGCTCAGCAGGTCTCCGCCTGGCCAGTGCCACAGCACCTTTGTGGCTCAGGACCCCTGAGCTGGGGCCGGTGTCTCCGCCGTCAGCAGCAGCTGGCAAACAGCTCCTGGGGCAGGTGGCCGGGGCGGCCGCAGACACCCACTGAGCCTGGAGTGTGTGTGGCCATACAACACCCTTCGTCTGCTCTGCCCGCAGCAGACCTGGACCAGCGATTTGATATTGAAGCTTTCCAGGTGTATATTTCTACCTAATGAATATTTTAATATTTAAATAAATACAGGAATATAAGCTATGGGAAGGAAGGCTGAGACGCCTTCTAGGGACTGAAACACTCCTCCGGGGCAGCAGTTGAAGCCTGTCCTGACTTAGATGCAAAAAGAGCAAAACATCCCCCACCGTGGCTAAGAGGTTAAATCACGTATCGGTCCCATGAAAACCCACCGTCTGAGAAGGTGACTTTACTGAAGTGCCTGAGACCGTTCGTTGCCTCAGTCTCTGGGCCCAGGCCTGAAAAGACATGAAGTCTCCCCGGTGCTGGGGACAATAGAGGGTAGAGGCACAGTGAATACTTGTATGTTGTGAAGTACTTCAGTACAGCAGCAGTGGTATATATAACCGTAAGTACACCATAGGGGGGAAAAAAAGAAAATCAGAATTTATGCAGCATAGATTTTTAATAATTACAGATTAATTACAGCTTAAGTTTTATTAATTAAGATTAGTTTGCTATCCTAGCTCATGCAAATTTGAATTAATGTCTGCATGTATTTTTTTTCTTTAAGAAGGTAGATTGTTCATCTTTGATGTACGCCTGTGAATACACTTTGTAAAATGTTTCCAGTTAATTTAATGACCGCAGTCGATATTTAGGGAATCCCATTTTGGCCAAGAACAGAAGAATGGAGCTATAATCAGGTCTAGGGAAAATGTCAGAACAATGTTCATCTCATGGATATACCTGAAATTGATTTATAATAGCAATACATAAGAAATTAGGTGAAGCAATGAGTATTCATGAAGTTTTCAGATGGATAATAATGATCTGTCAACAGGTGTGCTATAGATCCGAAAGTGAACCCTAAGATAAGTTTGTGTTAGATGAGCAGCAGCTCCCATGTGGTACAGTAGCTGGTCGGGCTAAGACATGCCTTAAAGAGCCATTTTGTGCCACGTGGAGATGGGCAGAGGCATTTCAGCCACTCCGGAGAGATTGTAAGAACATGAAGAGGTGGGGTATGTTCCCCTACCCCTCCTTCTGTCCACAGCAGGCTCTAATTTAGTTTCTCCTAATCTCTACCGAGAAAGAGGAGAAGAACCCTTGGTGCTTACCCCGCAGAGATGAGGTGCACAGAGCAGCCACTCTTCAGCTGCCACCTGAACTGGTGGACACGCGGGCCGTGGGTGGACGCAGCGGTGATGCCAAGTGGTTGGGGTGCTTCTGTGCTCACTTGTGCAAAGACTTTAACCTTTGGCAGCATGGTTACTCTGCCCAGTGTGTCCCTTGCAGCCACCACATTTAGCAGTCTCCTCTTTCCCAGCCCTCCCCTGCCCACCCAGAGCTCTCCTGCAGAGCCCATGAGCTCCCGAGCACCACGGGGGTGCTCCTCCTGGGTGCCCCATTGCACACAGCCCCGGGGGACTGGACACAGGGGGCTGGAGGGGGCTGCATGGCTGCCTCGGGGAGGGTATCTGCTCACTGGAGAGGAAAGAGATGCTACAGAAAGATGAAGCAAAGCATGATGCTACTAACAGAATTGGGCAGAGCCTTGAAGTATTTGGTCCATTTTACTACTTCTCATCTCCAAAGCTGATTTCCAGGATAAACTTGAGAACTTCCAACCTTAATGATTCTATGATTCTATGATTTGAGAGCAATTTTACCTTATTATAGGCATTTCTCTGGCTTGATATTGAATCCCAGGTGATGTGATGTTGAAGGATCAAATACATTGCAAATTACGGCTCCTATACCTATTTTCACATGCTTTCTGTCCTTCCTTAAAATCCACCTCCTGACCTTTCCTGCATTTCCTTTGTAGGGTCCCTCGGGACAGCTGGTCGGGTTTGTAACCAAACCTCCCGCGGCATGGACAGCTGTGAAGTGATGTGCTGCGGGAGAGGCTACGACACCTCCCGCGTCAGCAGGATGACAAAATGCGAGTGCAAATTCCACTGGTGTTGTGCTGTGCGCTGCCAGGACTGCCTAGAAGTGGTAGATATTCACACCTGCAAAGCGCCAAAGAGCGCTGCCTGGATCTCCCGGACATGATGCACAGGCTACTGATGCTTGAGGACCACAGCCTTTGCCCTTCCTGGTCCATGCAGGGAATGAGTCTGAGGTCTTCTCTACTTTTACGCCAGTTTTGCCTTTGTCCTTCGTTGCACAGAAGCTGCTGAATAATTAATGCAAACTCTGCAGCATTTACTTCCCATTTCTGCATGACAGTGTTGCTGCAGAGTTGTCTGCGCATAAACTGATGCAGCTCTGGAAGGACGTACTTCTGCCGGGACTCTTCCAACCAACACGCAACTCTCCTCCGGACTCCCTGTGGCAATTCATTCCTGCCATCATCAAGAACACAGAAAGACACAAAGATGGGGCCTTTCGTACAGGACCACCACCAACAACTGCATGGGCTGAGGTTGCTCAAGCATCTTCCAAAGGATCTTGCGCTGGCCACAGTCGTGCCCTGGATACTGAAGTGCTCGGGAGTTTGGGCACCGGTTGGCGATTCCTCCATGAGAGAAAATCTGGGGCCAGGCTGGGTGAGAGGCTTTACCGGAGGGGCGTTTGTCCATCCCCGGTGGACTGGAGTTTGCAGTGAGGTGGCCACCTGAGGCCACCCCAGCCACCGTTAGCACGCTGTGGCTTCCCATGGGGCAGAAATTGGCCCACGGCAAAAAGCAAAGGAAACTGCAGGAGAAGTACTCAACCACAACACTTTCATAAACTATTAAAGAGTCAAAGCAAATGTCTTAGTTATATATTTGTGAAAACTTGCCTTAAAAGCTTTTAAAAGGTCACTAATATTAACTGCTGAGTTTTTTTGTGATCTGAAGGATTGAAAAGAAGAGATTTGTTTCTCAGCCTAGTGAGAGCTGGGTATAGGAGACTCAACTACCTGAGGATAAGATTTCCTATTTTTCACTTACTGAATAAGCAGAAAAACGTTTGCAGAAAGCTGATGGAGAAGGAAATACCTTGTCTCAGTAATGATCGGGTTTCTAAAGAACCTATCAAACTCTATGTTCTTTTGAATTTAATAAATCTATTAAATGTGTTCGGAATGATACTTTCCATTCAGATGGGGACTTCCAAATGAGATTTTTCACTGAATACTTTCTGCAAAAACTTATGCCTAAGATTAAGGGTGCGTTGGCCGCTGGTGGAGGCAGTTACAGGTTGTGCCAGGTCCACATGCTGGGCTGGGATCAGCACAAAACAACAAAGCACTGGAAAGATGTGCAGGCTCACGGGGCCCAGAAATCGCAGCCTCACTGGAGAGGAGCTGGGTCAGAGAGGGACCAGCCGTCTCTCCTTGGAACAGAGACCAGCAAATGAGCCAAGACGAAAGATGGGGCCTGTGCTGGCAAGTCTAATAGGGCTCTGGAAAAGCACCCATGAAGCACAGAGACAGGCAAGGTAATGAAAAATTAATGTAATGTAGGAAAAGGAGGTTGAACGGGTGATAGAACGTATTGTAGATGCAGGTAAAATTTCCATACAAAAATGAAAAAGACTGGAGGAACCTTAGCCGGGTACAAACAGTGCGTGAAAAAGTAATATACAAGTAGAATACTGTGGCAATAACGTGAGTACTCTGGTTATGTTTTTTATTTTATTTAAAAAGAATATTTTAAAAGAACGGGGGTTTTTTGCATTCAGTGGTCTTGAAAGAGCAGTCATTTACATCTGAAAGGCTTTGGAAAAAGTTTGTATCATTAAAATGGGCAAGTCATCTCCAGAAGGCACAGCTGGCATTAAAAGATTAGGAGGATCCAGAAAGGTATTTATTTGAACAATAAGATAATGTTTCAGTTACCGTGCACGGCATTAATGTAACAATCACTGCTAGAAGTAAGAATAATCATGCTTCTGGGTATAAACCAACTGCTGGTGGGAATAGCCCTGTCAGCGTGTTAGTGTACAGGGTGTGCATGACACACACAGGCACGTGCAGTGCGTCTATAGGTACAGACATTCAGTTCAACGGTTATACCGTTGGCCTCGTTACTGCTGGCAATTCTGGCTCTGGGCTGGATAAGGAAAACTTCGCACCTAATTGTATTTAAAGGTGAGCCCCAAGGAGAATTTTTATTAGGATTTCATTGTGAAATTAAATCCGCATGTAGTTCACAGCCTGAGCAATATCACATTTTAAGCTTTAAACTTAAAAGCAGTATAATGTTTTTTAATTTGTTTTGTACCAGGTGTTTTGAAAGGTTCAGGGATCCTTTGAGTAGTCTACAAATTCACCATGTAATAATGCAGAAAATATTTCAATGTTCTGGAAAAAAGGAAGCCTCATTCTTACAAGGGAACGTGTTCTAGGAAGTTGAATAAAAGGAAATGAAATCAGGTCGCTTCTTAACTCCGTCATTAGGTTAATACGTCAGAAAACAAACCCACCCGACTTCTGCAGTCCTAGGTAAAGTGTTTTGGGGTCATTGTATTAAAGGTGGAACTTTTATTCCCCAACCTGCTCCTCCTCCTCCTCCACTGAGGTACGTCTTCTTGCTCCGGACTTCCCCCTGGTCTCAGGGGCCTGTGGTTCCTGAAGGCTGCTCTTACCAGTAAAACCAGGAAGATGGTGGCATTGAGTACCTTGGCCTTTTTGGTGTCCTTTGTCGCCAGATCCCCCGCCCCGTTTAGCGGCGGCCCCACCAAAGGCACACGGCAGGCTCAATTTTATATTCCACACGGGCGCCATACCAATAAGCTGCAATGCAATCCCCCCGCCAAGCCCACTTCACCACAGGAAAACCAGAGTATTTTGCAGCACAAGTGTGTAACAGCTGAGCTCGCCAATTATTTGATTAATTTTTTTGCTGTATTTCTGTATTTTTTTAAAGAAAAGAGCTCAAGGTAGGCTGCTTACAGCTGTAAGCATTTCTGCTGCCTCTTCCATGAAGAAAGGACTCCCGGGAGCTTTTGCTATTTCTTAGTGGGAAAAGGCGCTCAGAGATGTAAATATTGCTAGGAAAGGCACCTCCTCGACCTTCAGCTCATCAAATAAAGAAAACAAAGGGTGGAGGGGGGGAAGAAGCAAAATCAGGCAAGGCAAATTAAATAATCCTGTATTTTGTTCTATGGAATAAATTTATTCATGTATTTAGTCATGAAGAGGAAACAGCCGTCCCTAGGTAGACACTTTAGTGTCAGAATAATGTTAGCTGAGGCAAAAGGTTGTAGAATTAGTATCTTTTTTTAAAATATGCAGTCCAATTTTCTTGAGGGAGTTCCCTTTACTTTTGCTGCATGAAATCAGAAACTAGCAGCGCTCTGAAATGCTGTTAGCCTGCCAAGCTTTTTGGGACTGCTCCCTCCCCACTATTTTCTTTTTTAACAAACTTAACCCTAAAAAGTGTGTTGAGCTCTTTTAGGAGAAATCTCATGAAAAATGTATCATTTTCTTTTACCTCATGGAAAATGGGGAATGACTTTTAGGAATGGTGGTGTATGTTAGGGCACGTGGGTACTGTAGCTCAAGGGATTGTTGTGTTGCTGCTTTTTTTTTCCCCGCAAAACTATCTAAACTCAATTTGTGCATCTCACCCGCACCTCTCACCCCTGTGTAACCTTCTTTGCAGACGTGAATTAGAAACGAAACACCGCATTTCTGGCACTGCGCTGCACAGCTGCCGAAGGGCACCCAGCCTGGATGCCCAAATCTCACCTGCAGCCAGCGCTCCCTGCCCTCAGGCTTCGTGCCCGGCCTCTCGCGGGACTCGGCGTATGGTGGCAAAGGGGAAATGAGCGTTTTACTGGGGACTAGTGAAGGTCACGCAGCTTTTGGGCTGGGGAGGGGAAAAAGAGCTCTTAATCCAGTGTAGCAGCACGAAGCGTACCAGCGCTTGCTCACCTCGGTGGGTTTTGCCCTGTGCTCTTAGGAAGGGCTACAGCCTTCATGCGCAGGTGACGGCCACCTCCGCGGGCAGAGGCGGTTTTGTGGTCACATGTAAGAAGAGCCTGCAGGTTTCTCCTGCCGCTTCAAATGACGCGAATGAACGTGTATTGCTATCTGAAAGACAGCAGCAGTTCATGGGCTGTAATCACAAACGGGGGTTTGTGGGGTTTTTTTTTGTCTAACAGCTCATTCGCCTGATTAAATAGACGTGACGTCATAATGCAAGATCTTCTCTTGTGTGAAAGAAGCAAACCTATTTGAATCAAAATATTGACCGCTCCTCCTCCATTGTTCCAGGGGTGCCTCTCTGCTCCCTCGGCAGTGGGAGCCCTGCAGGAAGCAGGGGCTACCTTGCACGCTCTGCCGTAACTAGAGCCGCTGAGGTTTTCCAGCCCTCCGTGCGGTGACGGCCACACCGGCTGTGAAGGGATGTGTGCGGTGTGCGCGAGGGGTGCAGCTTCCTTTGGATGTTCACCTTCTGCAGGCTTCTGCAACATAGGGAAACTCTTGATGTATTTTTTTCCTCCTTTCTACAGGGGTAAGGACCTCTATGCTATCCCGCTGAATACCCAGAGTCTGTTTATCTGGCCTTCACACCAAATCACAGCACACGACTAACAACCAGAGAAACGACAGCCTTCCCCTAGGTGCAGCACTCACCTCTCTGAGTAGGGCTCTCACTTGGAGCAGCTGTAAATCTAACCGGTGGGAGGGTCAGAAGGTGGCCAGCTTGACTTACCTGACACTCCGGGGGGGGGGGGGGGGGGCTCTCCTTTTTTTGTTCTATGCATGTTTCAGTGT